TACCCATTTTTTTTGAGACAGAGTCTGGCTTTGTTGCCCTGGCTAGAGTGCCGTGGCATCAGCCTAGCTCACAGCAACCTCACACTCCTGGGCTCAAGCAATCCTGCCTCAGCCTCCCGAGTAGCTGGGACTACAGGCATGTGCAACCATACCCGGCTAATTTTTTCTATATATATATACTTTTAGTTGTCCAGATAATTTCTTTCTACTTTTAGTAGAGACGGGGTCTCGCTCTTGCTCAGGCTGGTCTCAAACTCCTGACCTTGAGTGATCCACCCGCCTCGGCCTCCCAGAGTGCTGGGATTACAGGCGTGAGCCACCGCGCCCGGCCAGACTTACCCATTTTTATCACCAATGACCAGCATAATCTCTAACCTGTGAGCCCTCACTAAGTGCATCATGACATGTATGAAATGAGATCTCACAATCAGCTTATCTTTCTTGTTGTCTTTGTTTTTTTAATCAGTATGCAAAAAACCCAGTCTGTCACCAAAGTATCATAGAACACAGGGCTAGAATCTGGGATGTAGGGATAGAGTTAATAGGCATGGGCTGAAAAATATTCCTTTTAGAAAAACGAGGCTAATATAGTAGACAAAGGAATGAGGATGATATCAAGCAAAGTAAAAAAGTAAAGTAAGTAGTGAGACTATTAGAACCATTTAGCATTAAGTGAGGAAATGTTACTTTTCTAAGGTCATGCTAGTAGTCAACAGAATAGTTGAGAATACTTACATTTCTTTTAATTGCCTTTTAGTGAAAGACCAGTTTCCCTCTTTTTTACCGTCTCCATTTTTTTTAATCTTTTCCATGCTTTGAACTTGCCAATGACATCCACAGACATTATAGTGCTAGCTGTTATAACAGATAAACTCTAAATCTCAGTGGCCTAAAAATAGAAGTCATCCCTTGATAGACTCCAAAATGATCGGGATGGGCTTTCGCAGGCTTTCAGGGAACTAGGTTCTTTTCATTTTATGGCTCCACCCTCCTCTAAAGCCTTGAATCCTTTCCATTCAGCTGGCAGAACGGGGAGGGAACAGAGGTTTGAACAGGGAGGTTTTTATGGACCAGGCAGGCAAGTGAAGCACATCACTTTGATCATATCACATTAGCTAGTGCTCAGTCACATGGCCACGCATACCTGCAAGGGAGACTGGGCAATGGGGTCCGGCTACGGCAGCAATAGGAAAAGAATGGGTCTGGTGAAGAGCTAGCCTGCCTCTGCTACTGACTGAATATTGTTTCAACAATAGATAATCACAATCTACAGCACTGTATGTAGCCCTCTCTCACTTACTAATTACAATAATCTGACGGGATTGGGAACTAGCATGTCCAATTTAGTAACCTAAGGTCACAAAGCTCTGAATGATAAACCAAGATTCGGACCCAGTTCTGACTGCAAAGCCCTCTGCACTGTGCTGCATTTCTCCAATTAAAACATAATGTTGAAGTGAGATTATAGCCTGAATGAATTGCTATTGCACTTAAAAGATCCTGTAACTGTCACATCATCAATAGAGTCCATCTAGTCAATGTGTGCTGTGGTCCCAGCTACTCAGGGCGTTGAGGTAGAAGGACTGCTTGAGCCCAGGAGTTCCAAACCAAACTGGGCAACATAGTGAGACCCCATCTCAAAAAAAAAAAAGTCCATCCTTTGAGATGTTTTTCCAATTGAAGTGATGGACTTATGCTAATTTACTGGAACTCTTTCCCTTTTTATTTTCATTTATATATTTATTTTAGAGACAGGATTTTGCTACATTGCCCAGGTTGGAGTGCATTGGGGAAATCATAGCTCACTGCAACTTCGAACTTCTGGGGTCAAGTGATCCTCCCGACTCAGCCTCCTGAGTAGTTGGAAGTATAATCGTGCACCACTATGCCTGGCTAATTTTTTAAAAAATATATTTTTGTAGATACAGTCTCCCTATATTGCCCTGGCTGGTCTTAAACTCCTGGCCTCACGTAATCCTCCTGCCTTGGCCTCCCAAATTGTTGGGATTACAGGCATGAGTCACTGTGCCCAGTCCTCTTTCCCATTTTAATATGTATCATAGTTCTGAAGAGATCATACCAGTTCCCCGTACATGAACAATCTTCACCGTCTCATCACCTATGCCTCATTAGCACTAACAGACTAACACGACTATGCATTTCCAGAGTGAACTGTATACCTACACTTTCAAAAGATATTTTAAAAATATCATTTCATTTTATCTTCATACCCTTTGAAGACATCCATTAAATATATCCATTTATGAATGAATAGTAATAGCTAAGTTACTATGTATAAGGAATGGTGCTAAGAAATACACATATATGTATATTCATTTAATCCTCAGCACCACCTAATGAGTTGTTTTTATTAACAGTATTTTATTGACATGCCCATCAAGGCACAGAGAGACTAATGGACTTGACCAAGGTAAGAGTTGAACAGTGAACAGAGTAAAACAGGTCAGGCTATTAGTGAGTCTCCAGTAATTTTCCCAGAATTCAGAGGTTCTATTTATTCTGCTTTGTTTTGCCATAGGTTATTCCTTATTCCTCAAAATACTTCTCCCTTGGGACTTTCATGACATTGCCTATTTTTGCTTTCTTACATCTTCAGTACACCTTTATTGTGTGGACATGTTGATTTGAGTATGTAAAACTTAACAGTGCCTATTGTTTCACTAAAAAAATGTCTTGCTACTTAAAGCATGAGGCAAAAACCTAACTTAGCTGTTTCTTATAGTAATTCCACAATTTATTTACGCAGAGAAATCTCTAAACTTCCTCTAAAACAAAAGGCATATATTCTACATAGACCTATATTTGAGAAATATATTTAAAGAAACATCAGTTTCCATTTTTAAAAAAATTTAACTTTGTATCTTCTGTCAAATTTCTGGTGCCTACTACAAAACTGGAAACAACGTAAAAAAACAGCTTTTGAAATATTAGTCATGTTAAGTGAGTCACTCCCTAAAAGAATTTACTTGGGAGTCAAAGCAAGTTGACTTTAATATCTTGGAAATGAAATCCTAATCAATTTGTTCATCCATTCAACCTACTATGAATTTATGCTGATGCAGAAACTTATAAAAAAATAAAAAACACTGAAATTAAACTGGTCAGTGGGAACTCTCCTTGGGATCTCTACTATTTAAATACCAGCTGTCATTTAAGGCGAAAAGTCATTGGTAGAAGAATCTTGTGGTTCAGACATTGTACCCATCACATAGAAAAGACAAAATATTGGTAGAGTGAGGAATCATTTTATGTCTATTTCTGAGAATTTAAATCCTCTAGAGCTGTGGTCCCCAACCTCCAGGCCGCAGAACATATCGGTCCCTGGCCTGTTAGGAACTGGGCCACAAAGCAAGAGGTGAGCAGTGGAAGATGCTCCTGGCAGCAGCTGAGGGAGGGGCAAGAGGTGAGCCATGGAAGCTTCAAGCTTCATCTGTATTTATAGCCGCTCCCTATCGCTCACATCACCGCATAAGCTCTGCCTCCTCTCAGATCAGCTCTCACAGGAACGGGAACCCTACTGTAAACTGCGCAAGGCAGGGATCTAGGTTTCCGGCTCCTTATGAGAACCTAACGCCTGATGATCTGCGGTGGAACTGAGGCAGTGATGCTACCGCTGGGGAGCAACTGCAAATACAGATTATCATTAGCAGAGAGACTGCACAATAAACATAATGCACTTGAATCATCCCGAAACCATCCCTCCTCCCTGGAAAAACAGTCTTCCATGAAACTGTTCCCTGGTGCCAGAAAGGTTGCGGCTCTACAGAACCTGAGGCTGAACTCTTGAGTCCCTTCTCTGTCAGCTGAGTTTAGTGCAGGCCTTTGTAGGTGCTCAATAAAGATATGTTGGAAAATTCAATGAGGCCTAGGTGGAATTTACACAGGGGTAACAGGAAGAGTTCCAAGTTCTCTCACTGCTAACTATAAAGACTCCATGACTGTTAATCAGTGGTTCTGCAGGTCATCCAAGCACTTGCCTTTTCTTAGTTCAAACACATTTAAAGGGGAAAGGGGCAGAGAGACTTCACACTGTGAATACAGCTCTTTGAACTTCCTTAAGTCGACTGGGTGGAGGCCCTACCATTTGAGGCACCTGCAATTTCCGCCCTTCTCCATCCCCCTCTTCCTGGCCTCTGTCCCCTCTAGTCACCCGGCCTGTGGCCCACTCCCACCACCAGCTGGATCAACCGGGGCCCTGGGAACCTCCAACTTGTTTCCAGGAGACAAAAAGGTAAAGATCTTTATGTTTTAAATCACTGCATTGTGAAGTCTTCAAAGGAAAACTTTATTTGGCTAGGAAAATCTAGCCTACGAGACAACGAATCATTGCATTTGGGCCTATTTCTTTGCCTCTCTTCCTGTTAAGGCTTCCATGATCACCTCCAAGCCTCCATCTAACAAGGCCGTCTTTCCCCTGAGGAACTGCGGGCTTTCGGAAAGCCGAATCTCCTCCCTGGCCTCACCTCCCGCCGGCTCCGCCCGGCCCACCTCGCCCCCACCTCGGCGCCCACCCATTGTCCCCTCGCGGCTGTCACTGCGCGCAGATCCCGAGCTCCCGATTGGAAAACCTCCCCGCCACTCAGGGGCCGGTCACCTCACTCTCTTTTCCGAGCCTTAAAAGGTCTAAGGCCGCTTTCCCCCAGCAGCAGGTAAAGCCGCAGCGGCGGGAGTAAGGACGGGAAGGGCCGCGCGCCCAGGTCGGCCCAGCAGGGCGAAGGGGTGCGGCGGGCGGGGAGGGGGCAGCGCGCGACACCGCCACTCCCTCTCGGTCTGACCGCGCCCTATCCCCCTCCACCCCGCCCCATCCTGATCATAATGCCCGGGCTGCGGAGCCACTCTCGTAATCCTGCCCCGGGACGGCCCTGGGGCAGTTACCAACGCGAAGCACGGAGGGCGGGGCGGGTCAGGCCAGGCAGCGGGGAGGGGGGTGGGGGGAATGTGAAAGGTCCCGGATGTGGCTGAACCGGAGCCCCTTCTAGAGGGAGTAACTGGCGCACGCGCAGGCGGACTGAACGAAAGCTAAGGTGGGGGTGGGGAGAAATTTTCTTCCCGTAGGCGTAGAGGAAGAGTGGGTTGTCAGAGGTTGCGGGGGAGAAAGAAAGAGGGCATCGAGTATCCAATGGGAAGGCGAAGAAGGGGGTTAGCGGTGGGGAGGAAAATAAAAAAGCAGCTTCCTGCCCAGCTGCACTTGGGACAAGAGTAGAGAAGTTGGAAGCCAAGCGGGGCGGGGAGGAGTGTCTGTAGCGGGCGAGGAAGCGCACTCCCTCGCTCGCCCTCTAGCGCGGGCGGGCAGGGCGCGCGCACTGGGGAGCGGCGGTTGCGCTGGGCCCCGAGAGCTGTGGGCACCAATCAACGGTTGCCATAGCAGCGTTTGACGTCATCGTGCGTGTGGTGCCCCTGCTGCCGGGGCTGGTGATTGGAGGAAACCCCGTGTCTGCGGAGCCGCTGTAGCCTGTGAGCAGCGAGATCCAGGGACAGAGTCTCAGCCTCGCCGCTGCCGCCGCCCAGAGACTGCTGAGCCCCCGTCCGTCCGCCCGCCGCCACCCACTCCGGACACAGGTAAGGAGCCTGGCCGCCACCTCGCCCCACTCTTTCCTGTCCCCGGCCAGCCTTCCACACGCGTGCGTGCCATCCCCGCTCCACGTCCCCTCGGCTCGGCTCGCCCCGCAGTAGCGGCCCCGGGCTGAGGCGGAGTCTCCTCAGGCGGACACCGGCGGCGGCTTCTTTTCCGCTGGACTCCGGCGGGCGGCTGGTGGCCTCCTCCGGCTACTTGCTTCCGGATCGACGCCTGGCCCCGATCGGTGCCCGTTTCCCCTTCCCGCTCCCCGGGGTGGAAAGGGCGCCCACACGCGAGATCCCCGGGGATCCCACGGTCGCCGGCTCCCGAGGGCGGGCGAGGCATAGCCAGGGCGCCGCCGGCCGCGATCGGTCCCCACCCTTGCCCCTGCGGGCTCCCACCCCCTTCCCCCTCGCCGCCCTTCTCCGCTTCCGCCCGAGATAATGACTCGGCGGCGGCGGCGGGCATTGCAGTGGCGCAGGTGAGGCCGCCCCCTCCCCGCTCCCTCCTCTCACCCCCTCCTTTCCCCCCTTCCTCCCTCCCCTGCTCGGCGCAGCCTCCGCGCCCGGCGCTGCGGCGGCGGGACCAGCCCTCCCCCACCCCGGGAGGCGGCGGCGGGGAGGGGCCGGGGGAGTCGGGCCGGGCGGGAAGAACCCGGCCGAGAGCGGGCCCGAGCCCAGGCCCGGCCGGACGGTGCCCGTCAGGTAGACCAGGGCGAGGCCGCGCTGTGGCGCGGAGGGGAGCCCGCCACGGGTGTGAGGTTTTGGGGTGGGGCCCGCTAGGGACCTAGAGCTGAATTTCCTGGGCTCGGCGGTGGGAGGAAGGGCTTGAGTTTTCCTTATTGGGGTGGGGGATGGGGCTGACTTTTTTCCCTACTTGTGAATGGGCGGGGAGGTGCGGATGGGGGCTCTGGGCCCAGGGTCGGGGTAGAGAAGGGGATGGGGAAGCCTGCGGGCCGTGTCGGTCGCTATCCTACCAGAGGGGCTAGAAGACCTAGGGTTCCTGCGCGTTTTGGGATGCATATCCTGCTTTGCGGGGCGGGGGAGCCTGAGCATAACAGCCGGTGGTGGCCCGGCTCGGCTGGGTGTGGCTCCCTCTCGTTCCCCTCCCCCACCTGCTGCAGCTGTCGGGCCCTTATAGACTCTGTAAATGGGCACCGGAGGGGTTCGGTGGCGGGGAAGACGCCGGCTGGGAGAGCGGGGTGTGTCCGCGGCGGGGCTGGCGTCTGTGCCCCCGGGTCGGGCAGGCGGCTTCCCTCCATCCCTCCCCACCCCCCGCTTGGGCGGGGGCGCGGGCTGCTCCTCCCTCTTGGCTCTGGTGGGGGGGAGGAATTAACACTCAGCAGTAGGTTGGGCTCCTTGACACAGATCCGCCATGACAAAGAAGGAGAGTCGGGGACTTGTGCGGAGGCACTAGCTTGGGCGGAGCCAAGGTGGGGGTGGGTGCGGATAGCGCACACCCGGGGATTTGCACTTTAAAGTCACGGTCTGCGGGTTTTCGATTCCCCCTACCCGACGTCTTAAGTCAGTTACGGGTTAAATGGGTGCGGCGAGTCCTCCCCGCAATATAGAGGCGAGGCCCCATTGGAGCACTAGCTATTCTGTAAGAAACCTTATCCACTTCCCCTTGTACCGAAGCGGTCGGGGTGAGAAACCTTTGTACTGGTTTTAAATCATTTTTCGTTAAAAGTAGCTTTGACCGGAGAACGTTTTTGGGTTCCTAGGGGAAAAATTAATTTCGAGACTAGAGGGAGATAGGCGATCGTAAATTTTAAATAGTTTACGCATTGAAACAGTACGCCTCCCAGGCTGGTTGATTACTTGTTTAAATAGTGGGGACCTGTTCTCATTTGATTAAAAAAAGAAAAAGTACTGTGGGATTTACCTGGAAAGGTAAATATGATTGATATCGGGGAGTCAGTTCCCATGGTGGGTGACAATGGCTCTTCTGTTCACCTTTTAATTTAAAAAGTGCACGTCAGGCAATTTTCCTTTAAAATCGTTTATTCTGTGGTATCACTATGGATTAGTATCTTTGTGCTGTTTTAGCACCTTTGAAGAGGGATCTTTCAAGAAAAATGTAGCCGAGGTAAATTGAAAAGTCTAGCGAACTTTAAAAGGAGGGAAAAGAGAATTTAAGTGTGAAGTCATGGTGAAAGACAACCTGAGTGATAACTTTGAATTAAATTGTAACTACTAGAAGCAAAATGCAGTAATTCTACATTTAAACTGGTTTGTTGATATTGGAAACACTTGTAGATTAAGTGCTTCCAATGTGACATATTTTGGTCCTCACAGATAGTAAAAGATAAAGAGTTGAAGTTCCAGCACCCGTGGATTTTTTTTAAGCATGTGTGCATACAGCAAAATATGCATAGATGAAGCCCTAGGATCAGTTAGATATTGATCCTTGGTGGTGGTTTTATATTCAGAATATCTAAGAACAAACAATTTTGTCATTTCTCCTGTAAAATTGCGGTGCTATGATCAGCTGGCAAATACTGCAGAGATCAGTAGATTTGGGGTGGGGGTAATACCAAGTAAAATTTAATCACTCCCGACCGGAGTAAGTATTATAAAAGTAAAAAGATATGAATTACACTAAAATGACATGAATCATGATTCTGGAAGTATGATAGAAATTCTAATGTTCTCTGTAGGCAATGTTTTTACTAAGGGGATAAAAGCTGCTTAACTTTGGATCACTTAGTGATACTGGAAACAAGTTGAGATTCTGGCACAGTAAGATAAGGGGTTTTTAAGGCGGCCTTTTGACTAAATGTGTTTTGGCCTTATGTAAAATTAGGATCTTCTAAACAGAGGTGAGGTAATGAAATTTTAGTTTTGCTAAACTGATATTAATGACTGTAAATTTCGTTCTGCATGCTGAGTATGCTAATTTTTTTTGCCTTTTCAAAGATCATCCTTTTGTGAAGGCTGCATTTTAATTCCTCATGTGAAGAATCCTCTGCAGACAGTTAGGTTCCAGGTGTTAATAAAGTTTATTTACCACATGTGTAATTTTGAGCTTGTTTATTTTGATGGGAAAAAGTATTTAAATACTGCTTTTTTTTCCCCCCTCTGCAGAACATCCAGTCATGGATAAAAATGAGCTGGTTCAGAAGGCCAAACTGGCCGAGCAGGCTGAACGATATGATGACATGGCAGCCTGCATGAAGTCTGTAACTGAGCAAGGAGCTGAATTATCCAATGAGGAGAGGAATCTTCTCTCAGTTGCTTATAAGAATGTTGTAGGAGCCCGTAGGTCATCTTGGAGGGTCGTCTCAAGTATTGAGCAAAAGACGGAAGGTGCTGAGAAAAAACAGCAGATGGCTCGAGAATACAGAGAGAAAATTGAGACCGAGCTAAGAGATATCTGCAATGATGTACTGGTGAGAATCAAACATTTAGTCTAGCTTCATTATAGGGTTTCAATGAGTATCAGTTACATTACTCTCAACTTTTTTTCTTTCTTTGGTTTTTCTTTTCCTTCTAAAAATTGAGTGTTCTAAATTTAGAAGTCTTCAGGGTGCCATTACTAAAAAATGTTAAGACAATAATAGATAAGTTTGTGTAAAATAAATACAACAATGATTATCAGTTGACTTTTGCTAAAAATAATAGAATTTGGTGGTATATTTTTTAATCATTGAAAAGGTCAACTAATAGTATTATTGTTTTAGTTATAGTTAGAGTATTTGTAGTAGTTCTAGAGGTGATTATCTTAAATGCACATCTGTGGATACAGAAATTTTACCTATCTTGTTTTATTTGGGAGAGATGTAATAGGAGACTCGTTGTAGACATAGTACCCTTCTCTGGATTAGCCACAGTAATACTAATGAGTCACCCATGCAGAAACCTCTGGCCTTACAGTTGCTTCTGCTTCTTGAATTTAAGTGTTGGAAGTCAATTTTGAACACTGACAACCATGATGAAAGGTTATAAATAACTCAAACTTGATTTTCCAGGTTCAATCAAGAAGTATTTTAAGTATTTAGTACCTACTGTGTTGAAGCACTGTGCTTCTCTAGTAAAAGCTTTAAAGAATGAAACATTACATTTTGGTTAATTTTAATCCATCTTACAAATTATGGCTTTCTGATCCAGAGAATCTTAAATTTGAGGATAAAATAGTAGAAGATCCAACAGTTAGCATATAACATCCTATATATATGAATACTTTCCCTTTTTAATGAGTCAGGAGTTTTTGGGATAGTATTTAAAGTGGTTTTATTAAGTGATTACACCTACATCACAGGACTTCAGGTTACACATTGGATCTCAGTATGACAGGATTCTGGCATGTAAATGGACAGTATCCCAATTTCTCTGGACAGGTTACTGAATCTGAGACTCAGTATGGAAATCCAGGTGTGCAGTACTTAGTATTTGAACCTTGTTCATAAAAGAACTACTATAATGAGCAGTAGGATTATTTCTGATGTGGTTGTGGGTTTGGGGTTTCTGTTAAAGTTGCGATGATATTACAATTGCTTTACACTAGTCTTAACTAATGGAAAACCTTCAGTTCCTAAATTGTATTTTTCTCAAATGGTATTTTCTTCAGGCTGTCTTTTTAAAGTGATGTTTTTAATCCTACAATTTGGGCTTAGTCACAAAATTTTATATGGCATCTGTCTTGGGGACAGTACAGTGAGAGCTATCATTTATTTCTAAGTTGAAAAAAGGAATTATCATGCTTTTATTGAGGCTAAATGAAAAATGCCTGTCTTGTGATTTGCTAAGATAATGAGAATATTTAAAAATTGAAAATGTCATTTTTTTCTATAATAAAATGTTGGTTTTTTTATTCCTGCTCTCCTTACTAACTCTAGTATCTATGTACATGTTACTGAGTTTTGTTCAGTCTGGTGTTTTTCCCCCATTTATTACATCTGATAGATCAAGTAATTCTTACTGTGGCTTTAAAAGGGTATGTTACAAGTTATAATTTCCCTAAAGACAAAAGTGAACTTTAGGAATAAAAGGGGATGTAGTAACATTACCTTCTGTTAAGTTTATTTGCAATTCCAGGTAGGTATTTGCATGTTTTCCACACACAAAGTATAAAAGTCCCTGTCATTGTGAGGATTCTCCTATTGCTAAGACTTGCAGCAGTTTTAACTTTGTTTCCCTTTGGTTTCCTCATCAAGAAAAGAAATTATGGCTTAGACCAGTGGATGAGAATGACTAGATCAGTCTCTAAATAGCTTCTTTTTGTTGACATGATTATTAAGGAGATTGATATTGGTCACTACTCATGTTGTTCCACTCCAGAATAACACTGGTTTCATACAAAGTCTAAAGAAAATTTCCACTTTGGTAAAGAAACTTTCATTTAACATACAAATGGCTTCAAGAATTCCTAAAAAGCTCTTGCTTTCAGCCTTGGTCTTTCAAGAGTAAAGTTCTGTTACTGATCTTTGCGTGGCTCATAACATATAGTAGATGCTCAAATATTTGTTAAATAAACAAGCAGCAGGGCTTCTTAAGAATTAGGACAGCAGCACTGCTAATTTTTTGTGACTTTTTCAACTCAGGAAAATTTGGTATTTACAGATACCCTGATTCTTTATGAGTGGGCTTCTTTTTCCTACAGTTTTTTTCAGAGATCACATTGACTCTGGAAGTGTCTTGCATAAAATTCCTATTCCCCTTTCTAGTAAACTGGAAGAATAAAGTGTAGTGAAACTGATAGTTCTACCAGAGACAAAATTTTTGAGCCATTGTAGTTAATGATTAGTAAGAGCTGTGGTCTGAGCCTGCCCGCCCCATCGCCTCCTCTGGCAAGTCCTGGTACTGGTCAGGGCCTGTTAGAAACTGGCCTCACAACAGGAGGTGAGTGGCCAGGGAAGCTTCATCTATATCCCCTGCCATCGACCCCCACCCCCACCCCCAACCCACCCCTTGTCTTCGACAAAACCGGTCCCTGTTGCCAAAAAAATTTGGGGACCACTAAGTAATTTAATACTTATATCTTAAGATTTTACATGATAAAAATACAATCACTTACAACTTTTTATTACTGTAGCTTTTTTTGAACTTGGATTTTTTTTTTAATTTGACAAGAATAAGCAGGTAATCCCTTTGCAGAATATAATTAGTGTTGTTGGATGATGGCATCAGTGATGAACCAGGCTTTGTTATGTTAAGCACATGTTTTATAATAGCTAAGAAAATACCTTCTTTCTTCCTACAGAAAGTACCTAGTCTCCAGAATTCTGAGGTTTTCTAACAGGTCTTTATTTTTTTAATTTATTTGTTTGTTTTTGCCTCACTTGTCAAGCATCTAGTATGAAGAGCTTTTTAGTAGCCCATTCTGGTTATGTGCATTTATCAGATGTTTCATTTATAACATTTAGTAAGCAAAGAGCGGGGACAGTGTTACTTTTTACAAGAGTTACAAAGCATTAGCATGGAAAGTGGTCACTAGCATATTCACAAAATAGATTTTTTATTATGTAAAAGAACTTGGGGTTCTTTTCTTGTGCTGTTAATTTGAAATTACAATATGTGTATTAATGCAATCTGCCTTTCCTGCCAGATGCTTAGACCGAAAGCTCTCTTAGTAGTTGGGGAGGGACTCAACACTGGTACCTCTTCTCTATAAACTTTAAAGATACAGCCTAAAATTGAGCAGTTTTTTATCTTGTAAATGATAATGAAATGAAAAACAAAATGAGGAGAGATACATATTAAACCAATTCAAAACTCAAAGATTGCCAAAGTTTAATAGAGCTCAAGATTTTGAGTCAGATCATAGTTTTTGCTGAAGATGCGTGGCGTGAGGAAATCACTCAATCCCTCAGAAAACTGAGCTCAATTAAATAGGAATAATAGCTATCCCATAGAGTTGTGGAGAATGAGAATCAGCTAAAGCACCTTGACGACCTTGTGTGTCTATTTCAGCTTTGGGATTCTGTTCAAAAGTAGTGACAGGCCTGCCTGTAAGTAGTACAGGGGTCTCTTAAAACAGGTCATGAATGGGATTTGAAAGCCAAGAAGCCTTTAAAATTCTGGGGGCTTGGGGGGGGGGTCCATGCTAGCCATCAGATTTTCAAAGATTTCATTCAAAATTTGAAAGCCACTGGTAGAGGCAAACAATGGCTTTATAGGAGGTCTAGGAGAGGAAGCAGTAAACTCTTGTGTGTCTAACATTCGTTAACAGTTGGCCACAGTAGTTGAGTAATTTTAATAGTAATATCAGTTAACTTGACTGAGTTCCATTTTGTTATGCTGCTCTACATTTTTATTTGCCCAGGGCAGTTTTAAGGCGTGGTTTCAGGGCACTGATTTTTATCTGAGCTCACCAGAACTGCAACTAAACAGGAGCAAGAGAGGAAACCAGGCAGCTTTTAGGTCCTCCCTAGTCTGAATATATTAATGTGTGCCTTTGGCTTTAACACATTAACTGCCATGTGAGTTGTATTTAACTCACGCTAGTTTTGAGCCCAGGGCCCCATGAAGGATATGTAACTCTAAAACGTCTCTTGACCTTGGAAGCCCCAAGAACTATTTTTCAAGTTGGATATAACTCAACGCGCAGAAGACAATAAAAAATTACAAATTTTTCATTAAATTAGAAGGGATCATTTTGTTTTCGAAGTTTGTTGTATTTACCTAATAAAACACTGAGGCCCCAAGGAAAAAAATTTTTTTCTAATGTGGCAATGTGTTAAAACTGCTATATATAATTAGTTTTTAAGCTGAAAATCACTAGGCAGCTCATTTATTGGAATAAGGGCTTCTCCAAAGGATTCTGCAGTGTTATACCTGTCTTCACCACCTTGTAAAGGTGCTATATATTTACATATCTTTCGGTATGTTTCACAATATAAAGAACTTAAGTGACATTGTAGATAGCTATAGTCCCTTCCAGGTAGGAATAAATTATATAGTATCTTTTTGGTAATAAAGTTCAGTAATCTGTTTTTTAAAGTTGTATGGTACCTGGTGAGGTATTTTGTACAAATACAGAAAGTCTGAAGTATATGAAATGGAAATGACAGAAGCAAAGGGGAACATAAAGGTAGGCATTTGCTATTTGGTGGGAAGAGGAAATAGTTCTGCCTTTATAATATTGAATGAAATGTCATTGGACCATTTAGATTAATTCCACCATAAATTTTTAATTGTAAAATAGGTGGTTCTTGGTACATTTATATTGAAGTGTTTGAGAGAGAAAATTTTAAAAAATCAAAATGATGGATGTTCAGATGTCAGCTGAGTTTAAAAAACTAGTAGAGTCCATGGAAATTCTAGTAAGCCTCAGCTATTTTTTTTTTTTTTTCGGTAGAATTCCTGTGTTCTCTGGTATTTCAATCTAGTTTCCATAGCTTTTGCTTTACTTTTTCAATTTTATATTGAGAACAAACACTGCTCAAGTTTT